GGTTGCTTCGCCCAAAGGCAAGGACCAGCAGACTTAAAAAGTCCCACACGCCATCAAACTGTTTAACTCCTCTCTGGAGGGGAGAGGGAGGGGAAACAGGGACAAAGGAGGGGGAACAAGTAGCTGTAGTGCCTCTTCACTGTGCAATAGTTTTTGTTAATATCCAAAGGTGTAATAGACTCACAATACTTGAAATGTGCCGTTCCCTTGTATTCTTATTCCTATTTATTCTATTTATCCCTTTTGTATTCTCTGTATTTATAAATGCATATGTGGTATATTTCTGCTCACATTCTGTAACTTCTGTCGGTGCTGTGCTACTGGAAACTGAATTTCCTAGAGGAACCCACGCGAGGGATAAATAAAGTTTCATCTAATCTAATGTAATCTATAGGGCAGTGCAGGGCTTTGTATCTACCACTCCGCTGTGATATAACGAGCGGTCACGGTCACGTGGCTTTCCGTTGCCCTGGAGGTCGTAGTTGGGCAACAGAAGATGCCTGGGACAGTTCAGCCATAACTTTAAACTTCTCCTGCTCATACATGCTTGGAACGATCTTGTCACTGAAGCGGACGCGCAACGAGATATCATAGCGTGGCTCAAGCACGTTCATCATAGTTTAAACCCCTTGTTTTTCACAACAGAATACGGCCTCCCATCTGCAGCTAAACACCCAGTAGCTTCTGTAATAGCTTTAGCCCGGTCGGACTGGGCACCAAAGGGCTGCTTAAATGCCGCAAACTCCTCTGCTCCTCCACTTGGACCTCTAGCGCTGACCATAGCTATCGCTTGACAGACCCACCACGCCACCATACAGATACTTTTTTTCTTTTTCTTCGGATCACGTGCGTGCCGAACCGTGGAGTTGATCCGATATCGGTTCGGATATCGGATCAACCATGATCCGTTGCACCACTAGTGTATACACAATACATGGTGAATGAAAAAGGTGTGCGAAGAAATACTCAGTGGATTATGGGAAGTGCCCAGCAGCCTAAGTCTATTGCAGCATAGCTAAGGGAGGATTCAGGGTCACCTGATCCAGCACTAACTATATGATTTATCAAAAAGAAAAGTTTGAAGCCCAATCTTAAAAGTAGAGATAGTGTCTGTTTCCCAGATTTCATAGAAGACTTTTAAAAGTTTACTCAAACATTTCTCCACCGGGCCTACACACAGAATCTCCCACTGTCTGCTTTTGACTGTATCTGTGGCTCTAACTGGCACATTCACTGAGCAGTAAAACATCTTCTTTGTTGGCCTGAAGCCTGCAGCTGTACTGCATGCTTGTTGCACCAGCCTATAAGAGGGGGCTTGCCCCATGCACTGCAGGGAAAAAAGCTTTTGTCACTGAGACAGAAAGATTCATTGTAACAAATAGAATACAAAAACCCCCCAAAACATGCGGCCATGATTTTAACATCTTTAACATCAGAGTTAGTAACACTGTGAAAAAGGATATGCTCCATTCCTGATTTTCTTTTCTTTTGTTTCTTCTTGTTTTCCATACTTCTTGTGTGATGCCGCACTTAATGTGAGCTTTCCTTAAATCAAGGTCACAGCAAGAAGGTCAGAGGTCATGACAGATCTTTATGATGAGACATAGATGTAATAGGAGCCTACACAGCACTTAGTTTGACCCAGAGAGTTATCATTCCCAGCGCGTAACCGACGATTTCTCACTGTCGTCGGTATGTTACACATTGGGATGAGGACATGTTGGATCACCGCCTCTCTAAGTCCAAAAATCCTTCTCATACCACTGCTTCAGTTACAAAGAGAGGAGGGGGAGAGGCCATCACGTAGTTGGACTGCATGGAAAGGAAAACTGCAGAACTTGACAAGAAATAGTACAGCCCACCTTCAACAAATACATGTGGATTCCTCAGAAAATATTATTATATTACTCTGTTACTGCTCCTACTAACAGTACTGTACACCAATCCATTAAAAACGTTAAAGAAGCACACCAAACTCCACACAGGCCTACTGAATATTGTTTGTATACGTGTCTATCTGCATGCAGGTGTGAGCAGTTGCCTAGCAACAGATATGAAACTGCTGCCAGAGCCGATGTTGGGAGGAGTTTCTAAAAGTAGAACAGTGGCAGACAGAGACGGGGCACGAATACACTTGTGTAACAAAGGAGTGGTAGACTCAAATTAGGAAAACAATCAGATTTTCTCACTTAACATCTTTTTATTCATGCAGATATATAAAAAAATGACTTCATGGCGTTTAAGGCTTTGAAAACCAACATAAACAAAACTAAAAATCTATACACTACAGAAATTATTTTTTTCACACATTTGTTAAATCACAAATTAACTTTGATTAACCACATAGGTCCTGTCCAAATTCACGGGCTGCATCCTCCTGAGGAACCGGCCTTCGCGGTCTACGTGGGCCGGATCCTCAGAAGGTCGGGTCACCGCTGTCTCGGTGGAGTTTAATAAACTCGGCCGTCTGCTCCGTGCTATCTAAAATATAACAGGACACTGGAGTAAATTCTCGAGCATCTCACACTTCTGTTTAATCAGTAGTCTATTTGAAGTTTAGTCAGCTGTGTGAAAACCAAGGAGGAACCCACCCGATGTATTAATAAAGTTTTATTTTATCTAATCTAATCTAATAACTTTAATCTCAGCCAAACCAATTTACTCACGAACAAATAAAACACTGAAAAATCAAATCAAATCAAATCAAATCAAATCACTTTTATTGTCACATCACATGTGCAGGTACATTGGTACAGCACATGTGAGTGAAATTCTTGTGTGCGAGCTTCACAAGCAACAGAGTTGTGCAAAATACAATAATGTAAACAAGCAAAATACAAGAATGGCTACATCTGAAACTAATAAATATATGTACAATATATAACAGTATATGCATTTCTGGATGTGTATACTAAATATTTTTCTACGTGTGTGTGTGTGTGTGTGTGTGTGTGTGTGTGTGTGTGTGTATACACATATTTTACAAATTAAATAGAGTAAACAATAAATAAAATATATAAAATAAAATATACAGAGTGAGACATGTGCAAAACAGTGGCGTTACTGTACAGTATGGAGTGCATAAAAAGCCCAACAATAACATTTTTAGGTTGTCTAAGTGACTTATATATTACGTTTAACCTGACTAGCAAAACTCCGCGGTGATCTGAAAATGATGTGCTGGGAGTTGTGCCGTTCTCGGCGGCTTCAGTGACCCTCGAGCTCTTGGCTAGCTATCGAGCTGGTGGGTAGCAGACGTCTCCGAAAACGTCGGCACACTTTTGCAAATATGCGATATCTTGATAAACCGAGCAGATATTTGATGTTTACACAGCTACTTTCTCACCTGAAAATATTTTAAAAGTTTATTTTGTGACCCAGAAAGATTAGTAAGAGTAATTTTAAAACTTAGTAGCGGACGCCATTGCCGGAAACTTTTTTTTGTCTGGGCCGCGCTATGAATTCTGGGATATGGTGGGCCACAAAGGACACACCCGACCCATCCTTCAAATTCGGGGAAATGAAGGATGCATTTGTCGGCTGCATTCGGAGGAGTCTACGACTTTGGACAGCCTTCGGCGCGTCGCTGTGACGTAATCGGTCTACAAATGCGGCCTCAGGAGGAAGCAGCCCATGAATTTGGACGCGACCATAATTTGGAAACACCGAGGCCTGACCTGTTGAATCAAGGAATACATTCAGACAAAGTCAGGTGGTTCCCTCAAAAAGCACAAAAAGCAAAACACATCCCGCTATGATCTAAAGAAACGAAAGAACAGAGGAGAAACAAAGTCACTGACATCTGGAATGCCATTTAGAAGGTTTGGGGATTCGAGCGAACCAGCACGATAGTTATTATCTGACAATGGAGAAAATGTGGAATAGTGTTGAATCTTCCCAGGAGTCGTTGTCCTAAAGACAAAGAGCTCAAATAGCAAATCAACAGCTCCTCCAGGAGCTCACAAAAGAACCAAAACAACATCCAAGGGCCTCAGTCTCAGTTAAGCAGTCACAGTCATCGTTCACGATTCAGCAAGAAGAAAGAGACTGGGATATTGACAGAATTCCAAGGTGAAAACCATTGCTGTCGCACATTTGAATCAAGAAAAAAATCTTGATAATCTCTAAGACGTTTGGGAAAATTGTCTGTGGACTGAAAAGACAACAGCAGCTTTTTGGAAGTTTGAATCCCATTCTATCAGGAATAAAATGACCATAGCATACCATAAAAGAACATTACACTAAGAGTCAAACATGGTGGTGGTAGCATGATGATTTGGGACAGGGCCTAAACAACTAGCCATAAGTGATGGAACCATGAATTCTGCTCTCTACCAGAAACTCCTCAAAGACTTACGCGTGCTTGGGTTATACAGCAGGAGCATGAACACATCACACCAGCGAATCCACCTCTTAAAGGCTTTGGAGTTGCCTAGACATGACCTTAAACAAGTTGTATTGAAAACCCTCAAATGTGGCAGAAATAAAACAATGTCCAGTTACTGCAAATGCTTGACTGCAGTTCGTGCTGCCAAGAGTGGCACAATCACTTAAGGGACCATTGCTTTTTCACATAGGGCCAGGTAGTCCTGGGTAGTTTTTTTCACTTAACAAAAAAATCATTGCATTTTTTATTTACTCAGGTTATCTTTGTCTATCATGAAACTTTGTTTGATGATCTGAAACAAATGTGCACAAAGAAAAGAGAAAATAAATATTTTAATAAAAAAAATAGGAAGGGGGCAAATACTTTCTTTTCATAGCACTGTATCATTGTCTCTCAGTCTTGCTGTTACTTACGAGGCAACATGGCACCCACAATGGAAAAAATAGGTTTAAAAGTTAACAATTAAGAAACAAAAATTCCATCACAAGGTTCTCAGAAGGCAAAAACAAAGGCAATTGTGTGTAATCCTCTTCAGCAAAAACAACCCTGGTCTCAGCATGGCAGAGAAACAAAAAAGCTCATTACTTTGTGTGACAAAGTACAAGAGTCCTACCTTGCAGCCCTCGCAGGCACTGACACCATAGTGGTATCCAGAGGATTTGTCCTGGCAGACGAAGCAGGGCTTGTACACCCTAGGAGGGGGTGGTGGGGATGGTGGGCTGGGGACAAGTTCCTCAGAACTGGTGCTCTGTGTTTCGATGGCTGCAGGGATTGCAAACAAAAAGAAGGAGATGAAGAAGGTTGTTCTGCTAAAATAACTAAAATAATTGAACAATTTGGAACTAGAAAAGAACTTTAAATTTTAACCTACAGGAAACTAAACTGGTCTCACTACAATTAGGTTCTTTGGGTACAGAGAGAAAACATTAGCTACAAATTCCACATATAAACTTTTATACATCACATTCTGCTTTCGAGTATTTCTCATGATTAGTTTGTGTGTGTTGCTTGGTCAAAATGCTTAATGCATTTCCAGGGATGGTTCATTTTCATTTAAATTACCTTCTCAGCCAAGTCTTTGATCTAGAAAATATAACCATTTATCAAATTGCTTGATGAAGTATAACCAAATGAAGATATTTGAAATGATTTTGGTGATACAACTGAGTAAAAGTCACTATTGTTTTAGAATAAAAAACTAATTGTCTACTACAATAAGAAATAGGCACTGCTCGTATTTGTACTTAATTTCTTATAAGTTACTGAAGCTCATATTCATGAATATCTTTCCAACCAACGTGCGTATGTGAACAGAAACCTCCTAACTGATACATGATGTTCACTGTGTACTGAAAACCAGGACTAAAACGGGTTACAAGGATTTACAACCAGAATAGTGAAAAAATAGGAAGTTCTTTTGGTTCAATCCAAGTTAAATTTCCCATTTTATTTTAGTCAAACTTGAATCCACCAAACAGACACTTGTTAACAAATTCCTCTTATTACAATTAACAAACAGCATAGGCCTTTCTTGGAAACATCCATCTAATTTACTCCAAAATATTATTTCATTTTCAGATAATTATGAAGGAGGGTCCAGTAAATTAGCTGAGCACACACAGAAAAGAGATGGCTATAAAATAAATGTTAAGCATTAATCATTAAACAACAGTGTTTATGGGAGATGTGCATGTAACATGCAGATAAAATACCACTAACAATGCTACAAGAGAGAATTTAGCACCATCAATAAAAATGCACCAAAACCATGATGATTGTAGAGACCAAGCAGCTGTCCACACACATACACAACCTTTCTACATAGAAATGGGAAGCATTCCATCCAGCAGATAAGATTACATTCTTCTGTAGTTCATCAGGGTAAACCCAATTACCAATCTTGAGAGACCAGCTCTTATAATTACTGGACCCTTGTCCCTGTATGGAATTCCCTGGTGATTTAATCTGATCTTCCATCACACTCACCGTTTACTTACAAATTACAAGGTTATTCCAAATTATACAATTTGGGGTATTTATATTTAGCTGTACTCTTGACTATTTATATTTGGGCATTTTACTATTACTTTGTTCAATTCAATTGCATTTTTATAGTGCCAATGTACAATGCACTTCCAACTTGGTAAGGACAGAGAGACAAGCACTGATTTTCATTTCATTGCTTCCAATGCTCCAGATGGTTTCCCTGTGAAGCTGGCAGAGAGCAGGTTAAAACATTTGCACATAAAGCAGATGTTCGTTGAGACAATCTGCTGGAGATGAGCCAGTGGTCTGACACACAAAGCCACTTGATAAAGGAGGATCAAGAAAACAGACACTTGTGCATGCTCTTATATATTTACAGTATGAGTTAAAGACCAGCCTGGGTTGGAAATTATTTAAGGAAGAATTTTGAACTTTCTATCTCCATTTTTTTGCAAAATTCGCTCATATAACCAAACCACAGATAATACATATAGATACTTGGAATAATGCATTAATGCAGTTGTCTTACATACATCATTCTACTGTGTGGCAGCATGTCTATACAAGTTATAACTAGTCATACTACGCTGAACAATTTTTTTGCTGATTTTCAGGTGGTCTATTTTGTCCAAATCTCTAGATACTTGTACTTACATGATATGAGAATATCAGACAGAATAAATTGTAATAATGTTGTCTGTTCAGCACAATGTGTGTGTCTTGTGTAACAAATCACCAGCCCATAACAGGTGCTATTGACATTATTACCAGATTTCGGTAACAAAAAATCCAAATCGCACATGCACAGAAATCTAACCATAGATGTCCATAAGTGTTGTGTATTAATAAGAAATAAAACAGGGGAAAACTATTGAACACATGAAGAAGGCAAGGTGCAAAAAGGCATGGACAGTCATGACACCAGCAGAAATCTATCAGTAATTAGAAAGCAGTCATGCAAATTAATATCAGCTGGTTCAGTCCCAACTGATGGCCAATAAAAACGTGTCATTACCAACATGTCACACAAGAAACATCTCATGATGGGTAAAAACAATAAGCTCTCTCAAGACCTTCATAACCTTATTGTTGCAAAAACTACTGATGCCACTGGCTCCTGTGAGCACTGTTGGGGCCATAATCTGGAAGTGGAAAGATCATCATTTCACCATAAACCACAATTAGATGCCCCCCGCAAGATTTTAGACAGAGGAGTATAAAGAATTATCAGAACAGTTGAAAATTGGGCCACAACCACACCTGATGCATGCAAAGTTTCTTCACGTATCTTGAAGCTGTCCCCACCAACACAAAGTATTAAATATATTTCAGTAAGCATGTTAAAGACTATTTCCCTATGTCATTTCTCATAACTTAACCCATGGACATCCATGTTTTGATTTCATTGCATCTGTGGATTGGATAGATTGTTACCAACAGGTGAGAATTTCATTTCATTTGTAACTTATAAGACTCATATGTTCAATTCGACTGCATTTTTATAGTGTAATTGAATTGAGTTGCACCCGTGGGGTTGCAGAGGGTGTCTGCCGTTTGAGACCTTGGATGAGTAGCGATAGCTGAGGCGATGAAATGGTCAAGCAAGGCGAACCTGTGAGTGTTTTGGCAAAGAAATTGATGCCGCCCAGAAATCGGAATGCAAAAGATACAAACCTAGACGTGATTGCAATGTCAAATAACGGGAAGGGAAGATTGAAGTGATTGTGGAAGAAACGGAACATGTTCCAAGTTGCTTGCGGCAAGACTATTGATTATAGCTTCTTGGGAGAGGTCGATGAGCTCTGCGATGCTAGGGTTTAGATCACGCATTTTGTGGCTGAAAATGGAGAACTAGTGTCAGAGCTGACAGCCATGCATGAGCAGATGCATGAGGGGCATGATGGAAGGGGAATTGCTTTGGCCTTTGTTGATTATGTCAACTATGGCAAGGTTGTCTGAGTGAATGGGGATTGATCTTTTTGACAATTTGTGGCCCCACAGTAAGGCCGAGATGACCACTGGGTAGATTTCGAAAACAGCTGAGGAAGGCAGGAACCATTCCTGGATATAGTGGCAGAACTCAGGAGGCCATGCTGAAGTGAACCATCTTCTGCCATAATAACCCCCAAAGCTGGCAGAAGGGGCAGCATCTGTGTAAAGCTGAATGTCATAAAAGAAAGAAATGCCAGTCCAGTTAGCAAGCAGAAGTTGCCAGAGTCACAGTTTGGCTTTGGAAGAGTTTTCTAGCGTGATAGTGCTGCGGAGTGATGGTTTAGATACTGCAAGTGAAAGCAAGTGAGGGATAAAAGAGCGGTCTTGAGGAATTATCCATAGTGCAAAGTTTAAGTAAGGGAGGCTAGCTGTCGTTTGGAACATGTGGCAACGAGGAGAAAGTTTTGAAGGACAAAAGTGATTTTCAAGAGTTTTCAAGAGTTTTTCAATAGGCCCTCTTTTTTTCTGAAATTGGAACGCCAAGTTCGGAGAAGACTCATGAGCTGGCGGTGACATGGAAGGGGATATGACTAGGAAATTGTCAAGAAGATGAACTAAAAATGGCAGCTTATGGTTGTAGAAAAGGAACTAACATAGAGCTTCAGAGAGTGAGTCAAACAGCTTGGGGCTGCTTTTGCAACCAAAGGTTAGCCTGACGGCGAAATAATAGACATCCCTCCACTTGACTCCGAACAGGCACCTGAAGTCAGGGTGAATTGGCAGGCATTTTAAAAGCCATGCACCTCTGCCAGCGATCTTAACAAGGGAAATGGCATGGTTCACTGTAGAGTATTTAAGAGAATAATCATCGCTGGGAACAAGGCTATTTATGCACGCAATATGACTACCATGAAGCACAGATAACTCAACGATTTTGCGCTTTTTGCCTGAATAATTTCTTTTGTGATGTCAAGTGGGCTGATGCAAAAGAGGGGAAAAGGCGGTTTAGAAAAGGGTCCAATCATGAAACCCTCCCTAACTTCTTTGGCTGTCAACTGGAGGTTTCTACAGGTACAAGAAACTGATGGCTGGGTGACAATGCCTGGGTGGAAACCTTCTGAAAAACCTTTGAATAAAAAGTTAACAAAGTCTGGGTTAGAGTGATTTTTTAAGGCTTCTTTTGATCTTGGATTCTGAATGCGTGTCGAAACGGGTAAAGCTAGTCATTGCTTGGGGGGCATACTGAGCGGGAATTGCCGCCGTTGTAACAGGAGCAGGAGTGGAGATAGCGGCACTAACACCTGAGGCAACCAGAATCGTTGAAATTATTGCAAATGGTGCGGCCTCCTGGATGCATGACGGGTCTGCCCTTCCTATCTGTACCTTGTGGCAAAGGCATGCTAGGAATGGATTCTGTGTGTTTTGAAATTTCTGGTGTACATGTTGGGGCCAAGCAGTTAAGAGCGGATGTGCGGCTTATGGGCTGTGAATTATTTTGGGCTCAAACGATACAGGATGATACAGGAGCACCGCATATCTTGCAGGAAAGACAAAAACGGGCAGCAAAGATGCGACCAGAGTTCCTGGTTGAGACTGCCCCTGAATGTGTCCTGATCAAACTGTTGTAAGCAAACTGCTGCATGAGAAGCGAACTGGATGTGGTACTAGTTAAAGCCGGTGCCGCCGAATCATAGGGTGAGATCAAGTATTATAGTCAAGTACGTATCGAGCTCTTGTGTTTGGAAGGGGAAAGCGGTGCAGAGAACACCTCTGTATAGTGAAAAGGCGAAAGCAAACTCAAGCGCAGTGAGCTCCTTTGCCCGAGATGGGGCCGCACATGATGA